AAAAATGGGTGAAAAACGGGGAAAACGGGCAAAAAACGGGCGGGAAAATAGGGGGAAAATTGGGATGAAAAATGGGGCGAAAAACGGGGAAAATGGGCAAAAAGTGGTGCAGGAATTGGGGGGAAATTGGGAAAAAAAATCCGGTAAAAATCCAGTAAAAAACGGGTAAAATATGGGGTGAAAAACGGGGAAAACGGGCAAAAAACGGGCGGGAAAATGGGGGGAAAAATCCGGTAAAATCTGGGAGAAAAATGGGTGAAAAATGGGGTGAAAAATGGGGAAAATGGGGAAAAAGTGGGCGGGAAAATGGGGGGAAATTGGGAAAAAAAATCCGGTAAAAATCTGGTAAAAAACGAGGCGAAAAACGGGGAAAACGGGCAAAAAGTGGGCGGGAATTGGGGGGAAATTGGGAAAAAAAATCCGGTAAAAATCTGGTAAAAAACGAGGCGAAAAACGGGGAAAATGGGCAAAAAACGGGCGGGAAATAGGGGGAAATTGGGGGAAAAATACGGGAAAAATCCGGTAAAAAACGGGGAAAACGGGCAAAAAACGGGCGGGAAAATGGGGGGAAAAATCCGGTAAAAACTGGGAGAAAAATGGGGAAAATGGGCAAAAATTGCAGCAGAAATTGGGGAAAAATCCGGTAAAAATCAGGGGGAAATTGGGGTAAGAAACAGGAAAAATGGGCAAAAAATTGGGGGGAAAAGGGTTAAAAATCAGGATAAAATTGGGTGAAAATTGGATAAAAATCGGAGGAAAATTGGCTTAAAAATGGGGTGAAAAACGGGGAAAACGGGTAAAAAATGGGGGGAAATTGGGTAAAAATCGGGGGAAAATTGGGGGAAAATTGGGTGAAAAAAGGGTCCAAAATTTGGGAAAATTGGGTAAAAATTGGGAGAAATTGGGGAATTTCAGGGGAATTTTGGGGGATTTTATTGTGAATTTTGGGGTCATTTCAGGGCGATTTAGGGGTGAATTTTGGGTAATTCCAGGATGATTTTGGGGTGAATTTGGGGGAATTTTGGGGTGAATTTAAATGGAATTTTGGGGTAATTCCAGGTGGATTTTGGGGTGCATTTAAATGGAATTTTGAGGTGAATTTGAGGGGATTTTGGGGTGAATTCGGGGGATTTTGGGGTAATTCAAGGTAGATTTTGGGGTGAATTTTAATGGAATTTTGGGGTAATTGTAGGTGAATTTTGGGATGAATTTTAATGGAATTTGGCTGGAATTTTGGGGTAATTCCAGGTGGATTTTGGGGTGCATTTAAATGGAATTTTCAGGTGAATTTCAGGGGATTTTGGGGTGAATTTTAATGGAATCTTGGGGTAATACCAGGTGGATTTTGGGGTGCATTTAAATGGAATTTTGGGGTGAATTCGGGGGATTTTGGGGTAATTCAAGGTAGATTTTGGGGTGAAATTTAATGGAATTTTGGGGTAATTCCAGGTGGATTTTGGGGTGAATTTAAATGGAATTTTGAGGTGAATTTCAGGGGATTCTGGGGTGAATTTTAATGGAATTTTGCTGGAATTTTGGGGTAATTCCAGGTGGATTTTGGGATGAATTTTAATGGAATTTTGGAGTAATTCCAGGTGGATTTTGGGGTGCATTTAAATGGAATTTTGAGGTGAATTTTTGGGGGATTTTATTGTGAATTTTGGGGTAATTCCGGGCGTATTTTGAGGCGAATTTGCCTGGAATTTTGGGGTAATTCCCGGTGGATTTTGGGGGATTTTCAGATGAATTTTGGGGGATTTTTGGTGAATTTTGGGGTGAATTTTGGGGTGAAATGTGGCTTTTTCTGCCCACCTGTCGGTGCCCTTCTTGCCCCGCGCCTGCAGGATCTCGTTGAGTTTCTTCATCACCAGCCCCACCGTGATCTCCGTGCCCTTGGCGAACATTTTCGGCTTTTCCTGCCCCAAAAAAGTGCCAAAAAGTGCCCAAAATCCCCCCAAAACCTCCCCGAAATATTAAAAAAAAAATCCCCCTAAAAAATCCCATTTTTCACCCCAAAAATACAAATTTTTCCCCCCCAAAATCCCATTTTCCGGCCCAAAAATTCCATTTTTTTTCCCCTCCCAAAATTCTATTTTCCATCCCAAAAATAACATTTTTTTATCTCAAAATTCCCATTTTTGTCCCAAAAATAGCGTTTCTCCCCCCAAAATTCCAAATTAGTCCCAAAAAAATCCATTTTCCCTCCCAAAAATCCCATGTTTTGTCCCAAAAATTCATTTTTTTCTCCCAACAATCTCCAAAGACCCAATTTTCTGTCACAAAAATCTCATTTTTTTTCCAAATATTCAACTTTTCCCCCCAAAAATCACAAAAAATCCCATTTTTCATTTCAAAAATCCCTTTTTTCCCCAAAAAATTCAGTTTTTTCCCCAAAACCCCGATTTTTCACCCTAAAAATTCAATTTTTTTTTCAAAAAAATCCCCAAAATTACATTTTTTCCCCAAATCCCCATTTTTCACCCCAAAAATGCCAGTTTTTTCTCCCCAAATTCCCCTTTTCCCCCAAAATTCTCATTTCTCACCTCAAAAATTTCATTTTCTCCAAAAATTCCGTTTTTTCCCCATATCCCCATTTTTCACCCCAAAAATCCAATTTCTTTCACCCCCAAAATTCCATTTTTCACCCCAAAAATTCAATTTTTTTTCCCCCAAAAATCCCCATTTTTCTTTCCAAAATTCTCATTTTTTCTGCAAAAATTCCCATTTTCTGGCCCAAAAATTCAATTTTTTCCCCAAAATCCCAATTTTTTTGTCTCCAAAAACCCAGTTTTTTATAAAAATCCAATTTTTTCCCAAAATTCCGTTTTTTTGCCCCGTTTTTCCTCACCTTGATGAGGGGGACGCCGCCCTTGACCTTCTCCCCCTCCCCCCCTCCCCTAAAATTCCCAAATTCCCCAAAATCCCCCAAAATTCCCATTTTTTCTCCAAACATCACAGGTTTTTTCCCCAAAATCCCCATTTTAACCCCACAAATTCCATTTTCCCCCCAAAAATCCCATTTTTCTCCACAAAAATTCCATTTTTTTCCAAAAATCCCCCAAAAATCAAATTTTTCTCCCCAAAAAATTCCATTTTCCCCCCCAAAATTCCGATTTACCCCAAAAATCCAATTTCCCCCCAAATTCCAATTTTTCTCCCCAAAAATCCCATTTTTTTATCAAAAATCCCTCAAAATTCAATTTTTTCCCCAAAAATTCCATTTTTTCCCCAAAATCCCATTTTTCCCCCCAAAAATCCCGTTTTCCCCAAAATCCCCATTTTCTCCCCCACAACTCCAATTTTCCCCCAAAACTCCCCAAAAAATCCGATTTTTTCCCCCCAAAAATCCCCGTTTTTCCTTCCAAAATTCTCATTTTTTCTGCAAAAAATCCCATTTTTCCCCCTAAAAATCCCATTTTTTCCCCCAAAATCCCACTTTTTTGTCTCCAAACCCCATTTTTTCCCAAAATCCCGTTTTTTCGCCCCGTTTTTCCTCACCTTGATGAGGGGGACGCCGCCCTTGACCTTCTCCCACTCGCCGCCTTCCTCCTCCTCCTCCTCCTCCTCGCGGCGGCTTTTCCGCTCCAGCTTCTTCTTGGCCTTCTCCTCGCGCCGCCGCTCCGCCCCGCGCCGCTCCTCGTCCCTGCCAAAATTCCCGAAATTCCCGAAATTCCCAAAATTCCCAAAAAATCCCCCGAAAATCCCGTGAAATTCCCACAAAAATCCCCCAAAAAATCCCATTTTTGGGGCATTTTTAAGGGATTTTTGGAGCCATTTCCGGCCCCACCGATCCCGCGCCGCTCCTCGTCCCTGTCCAGAATTCCCAAAATTCCCAAAATTCCCGAAATTCCCAAAATTCCCAAAAAATCCCGCGAAAATCCCACAAAAATCCCCAAAAAAATCCCATTTTTGGGGCATTTTTAAGGGATTTTTGGAGCCATTTCCGGCCCCACCGATCCCCGCGCCGCTCCTCGTCCCTGCCCAAATTCCCAAAATTCCCGAAATTCCCGGAATTCCCAAAAAATCCCCCGAAAATCCCGCGAAAATCCCCAAAAAAATCCCATTTTTGGGGCATTTTTAAGGGATTTTTGGAGCCATTTCCGGCCCCAACGATCCCGCGCCGCTCCTCGTCCCTGCCCAAATTCCCAAATTCCCAAAATTCCCAAAATTCCCAAAAATCCCAAAAAATCCCCAAAAAATTCCCCAAAATTCGCACAAAAATCCCCCAAATTCCCATTTTTTGCATATTTTTAAGCCATTTTTGACTCCTATTTGACCAATTTTTCAGGAATTTTCCGTCCTGTGACTCCTCTTCTACATTCCAACCAAAATTCCCAAAAATTCCCAAAATTCCCCAAAAAATCCCTAAAAATTCCACAAAATTCCCATAAAAATCCCATTTTTGGGGCATTTTAAAGCAATTTTTTTGCTCATTTTGGAATAATTTTCTGTCCCATGGATCCTTCTCAACGTTCCCGTCAAAATACCCAAAAATTCCCAAAATTCCCCCAAAAATTCCTCCAAAAATTCCACAAAATTCCCACAAAAATCCCCTCCAAAAAAAAAATCACATTTTTAAGCCATTTTTAACCCAATTTTCACCTGTTTTTTTCCCATTTTTTCACCCAATTTTTCCTCAAAATTTCCCAAATTTTCCTCCCAATTTCCCCCAATTTTTCCCCCCAATTTCTCCCCCAAACTTTCCCATTTTTTCCCGAATTTTCATCCGATTTTTTCCCAATTTTCACCCAATTTTCCCCAAAATTTCCCATTTTTTTCCTAATTTTCCCCCCAATTTTTACCCCAAAATTTCCCAAATTTTTTCTCAATTTCCCCCCAATTTCTCCCAATTTCTCCCCCAAGTTTTCCCATTTTTACCCCATTTTCCCCCCAATTTTTCCCATTTTTTCCCCCAATTTCCCCCAAAATTCCCGATTTTCCGGAATTCCCGACTTTTTCAGGAATTTGGAGGCCAGCGAGGTGAATTTCCCCCCGAATTTCCCCCTGATTTTCCCCAATTTTCACCCGATTTTTCACAATTTTCACCCGATTTCCCCCCAAAATTTCCCAAATTTTCCCCAAATTTTCCCCCCAAATTTTTCCAATTTCTCCACCAAATTTTCCCATTTTCCCCCCAATTTTCCCCCAATTTTCCCCAAAAATTTCCCAAATTTTTCTCCCAATTTCTCCCCAATTGTCCCCAATTTCTCCCCCAAATTTCCCCATTTTTCCCCCAATTTTTCCCATTTTTTCACCCAATTTCTCCCCATTTCCCCCCCCAAATTCCCCAAAATTCCCGATTTTCCCGAATTCCCGACTTTTTCAGGAATTTGGAGGCCAGCGAGGTGAATTTCCCCCCAATTTCCCCCAATTTTCCCCATTTTTACCCCATTTTCCCCCCGATTTTCCCCATTTTTTCCCCCATTTTCACCCCGATTTTCCCCATTTTTTCCCCAAATTCCCGATTTTCCGGAATTCCCGACTTTTTCAGGAATTTGGAGGCCAGCGAGGTGAATTTCCCCCCAGATTTCCTCCATTTTTACCCCATTTTCCCTCCAATTTTCCCCATTTTTCCCCCATTTTCCCCCCGATTTTCCCCATTTTTTCCCCATTTTTTTCCCGATTTTCCGGAATTCCCGACTTTTTCAGGAATTTGGAGGCCAGCGAGGTGAATTTCCCGTCGTCCTCGTCCGACTCCGAGTCCGACTCCGAGGCCGAGTCTCCCCAGTCCTCGTCCGACTCCGACTCCGGCTCCGACTCCGACTCCTGGGTTTGCGGATCGCCGGCCGGTTAAACCCCCGTTAATTACCAGTTAAAGCTTAATTAAAGCTTAATTAAACCCCCGTTAATTACCAATTCAAGCTTAATTAAAGCTTAATTAAACCCCCAATCCAATTCCAATTCAATCCCATTTAAATCCCAATTAAATCCCAAATCCGTCCCAATTCAATCAATTAAAGCTCAATTAAATCCCAATTAAAAAATCCCAACTCAATACCAATTCAAGCTTAATTAAAGCTTAATTAAACCCCCAATTCAATTCCAATTCAATCCCATTTAAATCTCAATTAAATCCCATTTAAATCCCAAATCCATCCCAATTCAATATCAATTAAATCCCATTTAAATCCCAATTAAAAAATCCCAACTCAATACCAATTCAAGCTTAATTAAAGCTTAATTAAACCCCCAATCCAATTCCAAGTCAATTCCATTTAAATCTCAATTAAAGCTCCATTAAATCCCAATTAAACCCCAATTAATTGTCAATTAAAGTTTAATTAAATCCCCATTAAACACCGATTAAATATCAATTCAAGCTTAATTAAATCCCAATTAAAGCTTAATTAAACCCCCATTAATTACCAATTAAAGGTTAATTAAAGCTTAATTAAACCCCCAATTCAATCCCATTTAAATCTCAATTAAATCCCATTTAAATCCCAATTAAAAAATCCCAACTCAATACCAATTCAAGCTTAATTAAAGCTTAATTAAACCCCCAATCCAATCCCAATTCAATCCCATTTAAATCTCAATTAAATCCCATTTAAATCCCAAATCCGTCCCAATTCAATATCAATTAAAGCTCAATTAAATCCCAATTAAAAAATCCCAACTCAGTATCAATTAAAGCTTAATTAAAGCTTAATTAAACCCCCAATCCAATTCCAATTCAATTCCATTTAAATCTCAATTAAAGCTCCATTAAATCCCAATTAAACCCCAATTAATTGTCGATTAAAGTTTAATTAAATCCCAATTAAATACCGATTAAATATCAATTCAAGCTTAATTAAATCCCAATTAAAGCTTAATTAAACCCCCATTAATTACCAATTAAAGCTTAATTAAACCCCCAATTCAATTCCATTTAAATCTCAATTAAATCCCATTTAAATCCCAAATCCGTCCCAATTCAATATCAATTAA